ACAGTAATACAAGTTACTTTAAATAACGTTGCCCCATACAGTGAATGTCCACAATGAAGAAATACCAATTATTAGTATTATTATAACACATGACGTGCATGCAAATGACCAATCCTCAAATATGCGTTGAAATGTTGCATGACATACGTCACGAAGCGGAATAAACACGTAGATTGCGTTCTTTATACAGGAAACTATCAAAACGACTGTGAAGGTAGCCGCGGATTGGGCCTCAGATTGGGCCTTAGATAGATTGGGCCTCACATTCAACTGTATTCAATCATTCAAAAGTAGATTATTACCTCGGGTCGGTACGACACCGAGGTCTTAAATTCGGCTCCTATTTTTTTTTTCTTGTTTTTTTTTGTGTCGAGCCGCGCGCGTAGTCGAAGATCGAAGGGCCTGCGGAGGAAACGACAACTTCCGGTAAATAAGTGTACTTCCGGCAAGCATCGGCCAAAGCGAAACGGAACCCGAAGCTGTCCTTGCACAAAATCCGTCAGAATTGTTGATTTAAAACCAGAAGATGTGATAATTTTGACATACATGTTTAGCTGGACAACTATTCTCGAGTATATGTTGATATAATGTACAATACATCGTATGCATAGCATGGGAATACCACGGCCAACTTTCACTTGTTATCTATTATAATTACTGACCCGAATCAAAAGTAATTATTTTCGGCTGGAAGACTACTGTACGTTGCTGCTTGTCGGGACCGTATGACAATGAACCTATCCAACGTTACACTAGACATTTGTGAGGACATGCATATAGACTTAACCATAGGCACTGTAGTGCATTGTGATAGAACAGATTTCAGTTTAATTAATCGCCCTAAATTAAAATCTCCACAAGCGGAGGTCAATTATAGTGTTCTAGTTTACATATTATCATTAATGATAAGGTTTACTCAAATAGCGTATTGGATAAACACGGGAATAGAACTTATGGTGTATTCTGCACATGCGTATATCTAGGATAAAATCCCACAAGCGCAAACGAAACTATTTCTCTATAAAATTGAACTGAAAAGACTCACAGCGACCGTTTCCAACAGTGCTTCAGGCACCCGACGACACCGTATGGGGGGCCTTTAGCACTGTCACCTTCTCATCTTGGGTAGCCTGCATGGCAGGCGGTATTTCTACGGGCAGCGAAAATTAGGGAAGCAAAGGAAATACCGTCTGCCGCAAAACTAGTAGCCTGCTCGCAGGCCGTTGTCAGGCAGAGACTGCATGGGAGGAACGGCCTGCGACCTTTATTAGTAAAAAGTCGATTTATGCGTACGGAGCGTACGCAAAATTCCCATTGGTCAGAAGTGCCCCATGAGTTAATATCGTGCAAATATTTAACTCGTACGACATTTCGCAATGTAATTTTAAAGCTGGCATACAATCAGTGGCGTATAAAACCACGACTTTGTTTATCTCTTCGAAGAAGTACCTGAATGTATTTGAGAAACCTTTCAATTTAAATTAACGTTGAAGGATGAGCGAAGGTTAGCAATATTAACTGTACTTCCAACGGGATTTGATAAAAGTTTACATGTAATATACCGATACTTTGTCTTCGTGAGCTATAATAATAAACCTTTTCCAAAGAAGTACAAGGGAAAACTTCGACGTATGCCTTGCTGATCTTTGCAGAGAGAGTAAAATAAGTCTAGTTCAGGCTGACAATTTATCTAACCGCGTTTGCATCACTTGCGGCTTCAAACGTTGAACAACTTAAGGTTAGCCCAGCGAGACGTTCGTTGAGACACAGGCAGTGAATCAGCTAGTATAAAGCAGTTGATTGTCAAATGGCAAATGCCTCCGAACATTTCTCCCAAATACTTCCCTGTCAACCCAAGGCTTTCTGCCTAAACAATCTGGCCTTGAATAAGTCAAGACAATGGACAAATTATTAAAACAGACGCCGTCGAGGAAAGTCGTTCTTAGAACACCTGGCCAATTTGAATTTACACCTGGAAATTTTGCAATAGTCGTTTGCGTGTTTTTTGACCGAAATCCGCTCTCTCTTTGAGACTTTATTTTTGGGAGTCTCAACTAGTGACATATATTATTACAACAAGAGCTTTTTACAAAAAAATGTAGTTATTAAACACGGCAGAATCGATGCCACGGCCACGGGTTTTCAAATTGTCTATTGTCTATTGAGTTAATTGTATTATTGAGCAAATGACAGACTTCACGCAATAATGATTGTTGTTTTTTAGCCTGCTATTGTTCGACACTTTTAATAAATAGTGTTTGTTACTTTGTTCAAAAACCTAAATACGTTTCCTTAAATCTTACAGTTATATTTTGGATATAAATATATAAAATACATTAACTAATCAGAGAGTAAAATTTTACGTCTCTGTAGTATAGTTACATAATTTAAACGGCAATGTGCGAACAAGACAGCAATATACAAACGGGACTATGTTTTAAATATTAGAACACTTTAGGGAAAAAACGACCATGAATTATTTTAGATTAAAGTTTAGACCTTGGAATCCTAGTGAAAGATACAGGCGTAAAATTGCGCGAGAAACTGTTTGTTGTTGTTAATAACCTCTGGTAATCTAATTAACAAAACTTGCTTTGATTGGCTACTATTTACCGGATATTCAATTATCTCAAAGGGGGCGTATTGAAAAAATATCAATAAAAGTCGCAGGCTCTATATAATAGAGCCTGTGAGCAGGCTACAAAACTAGGGGTTTTTGAATTACCCGTCCGCTGGTGAACGGGAAAAACGGATTGGTTAGTATTTTTATGTAGTTGTCAATCAACGGCTAAATTCGGTTAAATGTTAATCATTAACCAAATGTTTTGACGTTTTGAAACTCTGCGTTTTGAAATTAGTTCACGTCAAGTCAGACCAGAAATGGAATAACATAATAAAAGAAGCAAATTAAAAGATACAAGCTGAAAAATAACACTCTAAATAGTGTTATTGATAGAGATTCGAACAAGAATATTTAACAAAGAAGATACGTCCGAAGGGGCCGAAGTTATGATCGACGAAAGGTAGGGGCTAGTCTATATTTTCGTTCATGAGACAATTACATGCGTATTAATTTGATAATATACTATCTCGCTTGACTTTCAAAGGCCATAAATCGCAATAATGTTGACATTTTACTAAAACTATCGATAGAAATTAGGAGATATTTCTTCACTGAATCGAACAGTGGGATTTCCATATAGGCCTATCAGTCATGTTCTGAACCAAAGATACTTGATAGATATTATATACGAACCTCCAAAGTATAAACAAGGGGCCGGTTGATGCAGTAATTGTCAAATAACAGTTAAACTCTTATATACCCGTTGAATATGTATAGTTGTAAACAAATAAAAACTATCGTTCTATAAGGTTCAATACTTTCAGTTTGGTTGTTGACTGATGATGAATCTATAGTATAGACTTGCATGCTTTGTATTTTGAGCTTATTAAACCACCGTTTTAAGGCAGCTAAACGGGCTTGGTTTATATTAACACATAAAATAAATTCCTTGATTCTCATTAATACTAGACACAGTCTACACTTTGAAATGTCGAAGACAGTGGGAGATTTATTTTTTATATTTTATATTTATATAATTTATATATCAATAGTTCGTATCTCCACGAACAATGACAGAATGACTGGGTTTCTTTAAAATACAATGAAATTTCACTCAAAATTCTGTTTGTTTCAAATTGGAAGTTTAAAATGGCAATAAAAACTCTATATAAAATATGAAAAATTTAACTGTCTTGAATTATTTTGTCGGGCGGTACATTTATATTGTATAACGAAAAATAAAACGTTTTCACGAGGATTTTAAAATTCAGTCGGGCGGTGATGAGAATCAAGGAATTTATTTTATGTTGGGAAGTTGGGACTTGGGAGCAGCTTGGGAGTGGCTAATTTTGAATATTTACTTAATTAATGCATCTATAAATAGCGTTGATGCTCCAGGGGCGGTAGTTCATTTACACCCAGTTTTGCGGCAGGCGGTATTTCCTACGTACCGCCTGCCATGCAGGCTACATCTTGGGATGTTCACGTTATCGCGTGTACATGTCAGGGTGACGAAGATGCATTATTGCTAATAATGTCTGTGTGCACTGATGCACGCTGCATTATTTTTAATAATGTTGTGTGCTATTTTAACGCGTACATAGAATATGACGCGTATAAACATTTATCCCTGAGCCGGAATTTCCCTATACAACCAAAAAGGCCGCCCCCGTTTTTCAGTAGAACGTTAAAGGCACAGTTCAGCCTGTTGAACGATGGTTTTTAAGAGGCTGTCTCCGTAAAAACCTCCAGGTCAGTATGGGGCTCAAAAATAGATTTTTCTCATACTCTAGTATTTTGAAGATCTATCCTTGGGAACAACTAAAATCGATGTCATTTTACTCAAATTTCCTTTAAATTATTTTTGGGGGCGATTGATGTTCGATCGACTGGTAACCAACTTGATACTCCGAATGAAGGCCAAATATCCACATATTTTCAGCGCTATTTTTTAAATCAAATTCATACCTAAATTTCAAAATTTTTGCTCAGAAATATAGACTTATCCTTCTATTTTCGCGGGTGATATGACTTAGATCATTATTCTTTGGTATTAAATAGAAAACAGCGCAGTTATTGACCCTCCTGAACGGATAAAGGATATCGTCTCAAAATATGTCAACTTCGAAAGCTTATTTCAAAATCGTGGCACTTGATTGGCACATGACTTTAACTTTTCTATAAACTACTAACATTAGTCAACACAAATCGCCAATAATATCTTTCTGATCTACCATTTGACAAAAATGACAAGCGCGCAAACTTTGTAAAATTTGAAAATGTGTCGAAATCGAGCATACTTTATCGGTAAACATAATTCTTGATATCAACAAATAAAACCACCTTACACTACACTGAATGAAGCTTGATTATGTAAATATATGTCTTTCATCATTATTCTTTGGTTATGCACTCGAATGAAATTGTTTGACTGAGTGTACAGCCAGACTGCAGAGTATGGCAGTTTTCGACGAGATCTCGGGTGTGCAAGACAAAAATTCAGGTGTGCAAGTGTGCAATCCTCAGTTAACGTAGTCAAGTGTGCACTTGTAAATAGCTGCATGTTCTAATGATATTAAACAATGATTGTTTATTTGTACAAATAACTAAAATTTCTGCCTCTCAGGAAAACAAAACGTGGTCCAAATTCTGACGAACAAACAAGAATATATATTTCGATCGGAGTTAAAAGTCATTATGAACATGTACAAAATAGCGTGTTTTTGACATACTTTTTGTCCTGTAAAAGGAAAATGTGCATGTCCTTGTAATTGAGTTGTAAATGGAAAAGTGTTTCACTCGAAAATGCCATTTCCGACAATGTAGGGACTCCAAATTTCAAAAATTTTTCGCTCGGCGCCAACCATGGTGGCGCCTCGAGGAAATCGGACCAATTATAAGTTCTCTTGTGCCCAAGCTTACATGCTATACGGTTTTGTTTAATCATAACAACCTGATGATCGCAAAACTCTGCTGTAGATAGAAATTCGAAACTTTAATGGGCATTTTTCATTTGCGCTCATGAATCAGTGTTACCGATATTCAGGTGGTTGTTATATTACACTTGTCTTAGAAGTCCTTATTTTAATGCCTGACAAAACTGGAAAATATTTTAAATATGTTTAAGTGTGCAATACCATTGGCCAAAAAAAAACTCGGGTGTGCACTTGCCGTACTCTGCAGTCTGGGTATAGCCAAATGCTTCTATAAAGTTGTGGCTATACATATTTACGTTTATTCAATCTTTCCAACTTGTAAAATCCTTTTCCTCACTTCTCCATGAAGAATTAAAACAACTTAATTTTAATTAAAGTCCTTTATTTAGTCCTTTTCTTCGGTACCACCACTGATTGAAAGAATAATATTAATGCATGAGAAAGTAAACTTAGATGTAAACTTACCTATCAGAAAATGCAGGAATTGTAGTCCATTTCAGGCATTCAAAACTTCAAAATTTTTCTTGGGGAAATACTTTGCAGCCATGTAATAACTCATATAACAATTTTGGTTGATTTCCAAACAAATTCGGATATAAAAATATATATTCTTTCTTTGGTATTGTAGTGTATGTGTGTATAGAAGGTGTTTTATAACATGCAATAACACATCAATTTATATTATTAAGTAAACACTTTATTATTCGGCACTGGTTATAATCACAACTAATTATTAATAATCGTTTGTTTCAAGTAACATTATATGTCTAGTAAGTAATAATTGCCATATATCAGATTACTACAGTGTGGCTCAAAAGCCACTCCCAAAATGAGACTTTATAATTATGCTTTACATCTCTATAGGCCATTTGCAAAAGGAAAGTTAGTCCCAGCTAGAACAAAGAACACCCCCCAAAAAACTTTGGATGTGCAACCCTGTTTTCACTTTTCTCATAGACTGATCAGAAGTTCTTGCTCCAGATGAGTTTAACTATAGTGCGAG